TATACAGAGGGACAGAATTCCAAGACCTTTCCTGAGGTTGAGGATGGCCTTGACCTAAAGACTGAGAGTAAGTTGGAGCTGTTTTCTACAGGAAATGATGAGACACCTGTATTAGCAAGGGTAGGTCTGCCAAACAGCAAGCAACTCCATGACACATTAATGTGACATTGTGTGATGTACTCCTTACCAGGACTTTGCCAAGAAGGGTTATTCTTACCTGCAAACTATCCATCAGGAAGTAAAGGTGATATTATTGGTATTCGTAGAGAAATCATGATTCCATTATTTGTCCTTCCCCATAGGTGTGGGCAGTAAGAAATGTAGTGTGCCATCAGGCTGGACAGATGGCTTACTTGTAAAAGCCTGAGGCCTTGAATTTGATCCCTGGGACCTCGGTAGAATGTATCTATAATCCAAGCGGTCATTTGGGAAGTGGAAGGCATAGACAGGAGAAGCTCCTGGAAGCTTGCTGGGTAACTGGTTTGGCATATGCAAAGGCAAAGGACAGATAAGCAACTCTCCAAAACCAAACAATAATAAGAGAGACCTTGTCTCATAAGCAAGGTGGGAAGAGAGGGCAACTTCCCCGAATTGTCCTCTGATCTCTTAGTGTGTGTGTGTGTGTGTGTGTGTGTGTGTGTGTGTGTGAGTGTGTGTGCGAGCGTGCGCGTGCATGCATGAATGTGTGTGTGTGTGTGTGTGTGTGTGTGTGTTGGCCAGAGCACGACATCTGGGAGGCAGGTTCTCATCTTCCCCTGCGGAATCCTGGAGTCCAACTCAGGTAGTCGGTTCTGTGCAAGCAAGCATCTCAACAACTCAAGCCTAAAGGAGCTTGAAGTACAATATTCACAGCTTTGAACCTTAGGGTTGGAAGAGTTGAAATGCAAGTAAGTGTTGAAAGCACTTGTGTTGGTTGTATTGTTACTAGCAACAGTGGTTTGTTCTTAGTGTTGGTGGCGGTCATGACCATGACAGCTGACACAGGGGACCTATATCTGCATGTGTGTATGGGTATTGTATTATGCATACACGTGTCACAAGTACGTGGTGGGGTGTATGTGCACGTTTGTCACTTACACACGTGTTGTATGTACACTTTGGGTTGCATATAGGAATATACTTTTTGCTTATCTCTCGTGGTGACCTGACACGGCAGGTCCAGTTACTTTTAGTTTACAAAAGAGAATACCAAGGAACGAAGAGATTAAGGCACACTGTACTCCCATCTTAGTGTGTGTTCATTTGGGTCCAGAATGCATTGTTTTCATCTCCTCACTCCTCTCTCGTCAGCATCCCGGAGTCTAACCCAGGGCCTTGTGTGTACCCTGCAAGGGCTCTGCCACTGACATGCTTCTCCAATATCATTTTCTTGGGCTTGGCATCACGTTGCCTTGCGTAGCTGTTTTCTGTTTGCATGCTGCCAAAGCAGGTTTAGTTCACAACAGGCATTCTCTCTGTCTTTCTCTCTTGGAAAACCAATTTCACCCCATTGCAAAGTTGCCTCCCCCCAACCCCAACCCTGCCCCTGCCCCATGCTTCAAGACTTGGCCTTTACTTACACTTCAGCACAGTAATGGCTAGGTCATCTCTTGTGAGGATGCTTGAGACTGAAAAGGTCAGCAAGAGGGAGAAATAGTGGTGTGAACACATACTTCTCAACAGTTGAGGTGATAAGAGACATACCACCGCCAGCTTTATAGCAGTGCTGGCCTTCGCCACCATTTCCTAAGGGGCGAGGGAATCGCAAGGCAGCAAGAACCGAGAGCCACAAGTGACCAGAGCTGAGAGCAGGTTAAGAGCTCTGTGTGGACTGGAGAGACTGGGGTGTTTTGCTTGAAGAGGCACTCTCCAGTCCCTTCGTCTTTGGAGAATTCTGCCTCCAAGTGTTGCTTTTCCCCTCCGTGTGGCTTCATCCCCCACCTCCCAGCCGCCCTCTTTCCCCAGGTGGAAATTTTCCCGATTCTTTAATATCCTTCTCAGTTTTCTGATGCCAGCTCATGAAAACAACCTCAGGAGTCAGACCAGCGTGCAATTCAGGTTTGCGTTAAGGTGTTTCATTAGCTGAGAAATAGCAGAAGGCATTTTCACCGTTTCTATTTTAGACTCGTAGGAGAAAATGCAAATGGATCAAAATCTGTTTTGCTCAGTGTCAAGTGAGTACTCTGAGTTTGAAGATCACTCAGTTCCATTAAGGCCCCTTTGGTCTGTCTTCCCTAATGTGATGTTGAGTGGTGTCGTAACGCAGCCCTTATCACCGACTGGACTGTGTGACATGACTTTATTTATTGAAGCCCAATTCAGTTTTGTCCTGTGCCATATTCATTCTTTTGTCATAATTTCCAACAGTTAAAACTCGTGCCCAGGCTCATAGCACATGTCAAAGAATTTCATCATACAGATAGATAGATGCCTCCCTCATTCTAGTATGTTCTCCACAGAGCTGTGGTATGCCTTTGCTCTTCCATTTTTACTTTATTAACATTGATAGCCTTTCGGTTTTTTGTTTGCTTGTTTGTTTTGGGGCTTTTTGTTTTTGTTTTCATTACAGGGTATAAATTTATTGCTGTGCTTCAGACTCTTATACCCGCCCCCCCCCCCCCGGGCAGTGAAAGTGTAAGATAAGGTTTATTAATCTTATTCCTCTTTCCAAAATCCTCATTTTCTGAGGGGTGGATGTAGTTTACCTCTGTTTGCTGCAGATTCCTAGGTTTATTGCTATCATGAGAAGACATTTCAGCTGCTTTGAACACATTTCTCAGGTGGCTTTACTTTTTCTTTACTTTTTTTTTTTTTTTTTTTTCTGAGAATGATTTTACAGAGTTGAACAAATGACATAGAATAACTGGGTCAGGGAAGAACATTTTCCATCCTTCCTGGGCCTTCCATTTCAAGGGTGAAGCATTATCTTAAATAATGCATTGCCCAGCTTTCCTCACCGTGTTACCAGGAGGGCCCCATCCTACAATGCTCGGAGGCTCTGGCATGAACACGTTAGTGTTTTTACAACAGTAGCAGAGATGTGCACATCATTGTGAAGGCTAAGATCTGGCATAAGCCATTTCAGCTTCATTCTGAATTTCTTCTATTCTGTGCTCTCTGACAACACTGTTTGGCAAGTGTGTCAGTTTTTTCATATTTCTTTTAAATTTTAATTATAACCCATCAAGTCTCAAGCAATTACTTCTGGGTTAGAGTCTTGATGAATGTCATAGCAGGGTGTTTTAATTTAATGGATCCAGAAAAACATCTGTTTCTAATATTTTAAGAGCCAGTTTATATGGAAATTCATTTAATATACAGTCAATACACGGAGACTTGAAAAATCAAAATGGAAAAAATCAAACAACTGTGATGTCGTCAGGCTTCCATTAACAAAGGACTTGGCTGCATCTAGGCTCAGCTAGGTGTTCCGAGTGGACACTGACAGTCTCCTAATTTAGAAGAAATTCAATGTAGGCTCGGGGAAGTGGGACAGTTAACAGGGCTAGTGTCCTCTGATGACTTTGGTCAGCTGTGTGCAACTTCTATTCTGGGCCATGGTGGCTGCTGCAACCCGGTGGTAGTCTATATTGTAGAAGGAGGTGCCTGGGAGAGGGGGAGCTAAACTTCCGTCTGGATACTTTCTGGAAAGAATAAATCACAGTTAGTCACATGATCGTAATTAACATTAAAGGAAATATGAGAGAGAACCATGTCCCCAGCTCAAAAAACCTTCCATTAAAAGAGGAAAAGCTTATACATTGGTGGAATAACGAACTATTTTACTATTCCTATTGTGCAATTTTAAGATCTCATTTGAACAGATTGGTCTTTTTATTAAACATCTAGAAATGTTGATTAGTTCTCATAAATAGATAGTACAAAGCACTAGTAATGGACGGAGAGTAGATAACTACCAATAACTAACAGCCTTTTTAAATTCTAAATTCTGCATTTACCTGACTTCAGAACTCACTAGACTTTATGATGGAGTTTGAGACTTTACCTTGATCCTTGTGCAATGGTAGTAACAGCTAATAATATAGAGGTATCCTTTATACCAGCGTGCCCATGATGCTCGTGGGTCTATAAAGCTATGACCTCTGCTTCATTGTGTTGAAGATAAATGGATAAATATAAGTGTTCCTTAAGTGGTTTCAGGGTGAAAGTGTATTGTAAAAACAGAAGCTCAGAGAGGTTCATGGAGGTACCTTCCAGCATTTTTGAATGCTGGTCAGTAGGGGCCAGGTTCCTAGTTGAACCCCATTTCTGTTTCTCTCTGTTGGAAGACATAAGTATGTAGTGCTTTCAGCAACTGGTTCTTCTTGTCAGGTCTGCTCAGGAGCACTGGAGGTAGCCTGCATTGTTTGGGGGAGCACGACAGAGCTATAGGAACCCTTTGGCCAAGGACTCAAAGGGGTGCAATCCATTCCTAGTGCTGGGGATTTTGCTTGGTAGCATATGGTCTGGTTTGGCCATTGTAACTCCATTTAAGTTCTTTTTATGTACCCGGAGGAAGGGGGAGAGGGGATGGAAGAGAGGAGAGGAGAAAAGAGAGGTCCTGATGGCAGGTCTAGATGCATCCCAAAGAGGAGCAACGTCGGGCCATCTGAAAAATGCACAGTCACAGGCAGCCACTAATCAGGAGCCCCGAGGCGGTGTTTTTATTTAACCAGAGTTCCACTAGAGAAATCAGATCAATTGGGAGCTGCCACAGGTGGCTGAAAACCCTTCTGGAGCCCTTGGATTCCCTTGTTCTTCAAAAGCAGTGCTTATGAAGGGGCCAGCTTGCCAGGGTAGCAAAGGAGGCCTCACTGTAGCCTTAGCAGGCATTAAGGGGGTACAGGACCTCCTGGGTTCAACCTCTGTGTACTGGGAATGCCATTGTCAAGTATAATAGCAAGTCTTTGAGTAAGACAGGATCTCATCAGTGTCAATTTCCTTTGTATTTTTTTTTAAGTGTGTATTTTTTTTCTGTTGACATTTGATTGATTGATTGATGGATGTATTTTGTTTTTCAGCCGTGCTATCAAGACTAATCAGGACCTGCTCCCAGAGACCCCGTGGACACACATTTTCTACAACGATTTCTGGGGGACCCTTCTAACTCACAGTGGGAGCCACAAGTCCTACCGGCCGCTCTGCACGCTGTCTTTCCGACTGAACCACGCCATGGGTGGGCTCAACCCCTGGAGCTACCATCTTGTCAATGTCCTGTTGCACGCGGCTGTCACCGGGCTCTTCACACGCTTCTCCAAGGTCCTGCTCGGGGACGGATACTGGACTTTCATGGCCGGCTTGATGTTTGCCTCTCATCCCATCCACACGGAGGCCGTAGCGGGCATCGTGGGACGGGCAGATGTGGGCGCCAGCCTCTTCTTTCTCCTTTCCCTGCTGTGCTACATTAAGCACTGTTCTACAAGAGGCTACTCGGCCAGAACTTGGGGCTGGTTCCTGGGGACCGGACTGTGTGCAGGGTGCAGTATGTTGTGGAAGGAGCAAGGAGTAACAGTCTTGGCAGTTTCGGCTGTTTACGATGTCTTTGTCTTCCATGGGCTGAAAATGAAGCAGATCTTACCTACCATTTACAAAGTAAGTGATTATTGCCTCTGGTCCTTTGCCACCATTTCAAAAAAAAGAGCAGATTCGTTCTTCTTCAAGCAGAATTTAAAATGAGGACCCTTTGATCTTCCCTTAAATAGAGCTCCCTTTTTGACCTTTCTCTGCCAAGTGGAGAAATAAACATGTTTTCTCCGGTTTCTGAACTTCTTTCCATGGTTTCTAAGGTGGCAGGAGAAAAATCTTGCCTTGCAAAGTGTATGCATCTCTATTGCCTGCACCTCATTTTTGTTTGTTTGGTGCCAAATTTCATATAATCCAGTAATTGCCTGCGATGTGTATGTGTAAAAATAACGCAGCTGACAATGGAGCTAGATGCTGGATTCCATGGAGGGGAAACCCTGTGGGGTTTTTTGTTTGTTTGTTTGTTTTTGTAAATATGACTGTTCCTGAGTTTTTGAAAACATCCCTTTTGGTAGTGCCCTGGGAAGTCAGGTACTAAGACAATGACTCATGTTCACCTTCCCTTTGTTTTTAGTAGATAAGAATAGAAGAGGCCAAAAGCAGTATACTTGTTGAGTTTTTCCCTGAGGCTAAATAAGACCTTTGCTTCTGGGTTCAGTGTTTGTGTGTTCCCTTAGTGACTTCAGATACACTGCTCCAAGGTTATGGAAGGATCTGGGGGTTCCTTTCCTTTTTCCTGGTTGATTAAGTGACTGTGGGTAAACAGGTACACAGTCCATACACAGCAAACATTCACTGCAGATAATTTACCATTTATATAAGGAAAGTGGATTTACACAGGAATGAGAGAGGTGTGCTAGTTTCTTTTTATACAAAGTGTTAAGCCTTGACTGATATGACATGATAGAATACAGAGCATCCTGAGTGTTTTTCAGATTTGATAAGTTGATTTTATTGTCGATGTGAAAAACACTATATACATACTTAGTAAAAAATGACAGAATTATATTCAAGGCTACTTTAAGAATTGTTACAGACTCTTTGAATACCATGCTAAAATTATAACAATTTTTTTTCTTTTATTTTTTGGTTTTTCAAGACAGAGTTTCTCTGTATGCCTTTGGATTCTGTCCTGGAACTCACTCTGTAGACCAGGCTGGCATCAAACTCACAGAGATCCACCTACCTCTGCCTCCCAAGTGCTGGGATTAAAGGTGTGAGCCACCAACACCCGGCTATAGCAATTTTTTTTTTTTAAATGAAATTGAGCCCAGACGACAGGGTTTTTGTTTGTTTGTTTTTGTTTTTTGTTTTAACTTTCTGAGCCAGGGTTTTGCCCTGGCTATCCTGGAACTCATTCTGTAGACCAGGCTGGCCTCGAACTCACAGAGATCATCTGCCTCTGTCTCTGCCTCTGGAATAGGAATGTTGGGATTAGAGGCGTGCGTCACCACCGATGCCCAGCCAGACAGCAGCTTTTTAAAATCAAACTTTCTACCACTGCCCAGTACATAAGTATGCTAAGACATATTTGTGTGCTGAGTAATGAGTGTAGGAAAATTTTAGTAGTTGTTTTTTTGTAATAAAACTGTTATATTTTTGGAAGGGCAATAAAACTTTGTATGTGCAGTGAACACACTGCAGTTCCATAAGGTAGCCTTAGATTCGAGCTGGGATGTATCGGGTGGTGTCAGTTTGTACTGTACGAAGTGAGTATGCTGTGTACTTGAATAAGGTTCTAGTGAAATCTCAAGGTTCAACACTGGTGATGTGACAGGGGGTGGGGTAAATACACCCCGTTTTTCTGTATATAAAGCGGAAGTCACGTCTGACCACTGTGCGGTCACAGACTTTTCCCTCCTGTCAGGCTCATAGCAACCCTCACAGTTGAAGAAACTTCCCATAAAGGGCCGCTCTGGGGGGGGGGGTTGGGGTGCCTCGGGAAACCGCCTTCTTATCTCTTTACCCTCTCTCCTTGAGAACCCACCTTTGGTTTGATTAAAGGGAAGACTTTGATGCACTCAGCTGTGGTGTGGAAATGTCACCTGTTCCAGGCCAGCCCCCACATTCCTCTGGGGCATGAGAGAAGAGAATTTTGCAAAGCTGACCCACTGAGCTGAGACACTCTGCTGTGTTGCCAGGCCAGCCTTTAAGTGGGTTGATCCCACCTCAGCCTGCTCAGTAGCTGGGACTAGAAGTCTGCTCTATGGCACTCACTAAGCTGCAGATTCTAGTTTTATCCATGTAAAGAAGATGGCAGGTTTTTTTTTGTTTTGCTTAATTCCCCCCCCCCCCCCAGTTTTTCCTCCCCCAAATTCCCTTTTGCTTAAAATTGAATTGCACGAGAAACATGGATGTGAGGTAATCCAAAGTACTTATTTACTATTACTGTTAAGATTTATTTTCATTTATGTATATGTGTGTCTGGGTGGGTGCCTACTATTATGTAAGATTTTAATATTGTTTATGTACGTGTATGTATCTGTGTGGGTTTCCATGCCTGTGAGTTTCCAGAGGCCAGTTCAGAGTATAGGAGTTACAGGCATAAGTGGGTCCTAAACTCTGGTCTTTAAGATTGAACAGCAGGTACATTTAACCACTGAGCCACCTCCTCAGCCCTCTAATTATTTATTAATCGTCTACTTTGTTTTAAAAAAATTATATAATTTTTTTTACTTACGAGGCAGTGGGTGTGGTCATCGCTTTTGTTTGTGCTCTGAGGAGACCATGACCTTTTCACTTAGACTTCGAGAATTCAAGCCAAATGAAGTTCTTTTGTGATTTGTATTAAACATTGTCACTTTAAGGATAATTCTGCACACAGTTTGATGCCGGACAACAACACAAAGTCTACAAGCAGAGTTCTCAAATTCATTTTCATTCTTACAAAGGACATTTATTTCAGAGACAATTTTTTTTTTCTTTTTGTTAATATGATGTCATCAGCAATAACAAACTTTGTTGTTGTACTGGAATTCAGAAAGCACGGATATATTTCCTGGTTCTTGTCTTTATGGGCATAGCAGTCTCTTTGAGGATGCAGATGCTGCAGCTTCTAGGACCTCCCCAACCCCCCTGTTGACAGCCTGTGAAGCAGACACCCTGGTCTCCTGTGCAGAATATCCATCTCACTAGCTCCTTATTTTGATATGTTAATTCAGGGCTTGCTTTTAGGGCCTTTAAAGTTTTCTTTGGAAAAAATTTCCTTTTTCCTAGCATATTTTCAAGGGCAGAGTTGTTGACTATTCTTACTTTAAGAATATTCTAGACAAACTTATTTGTATTAGAATTCATCTGAGCTTTCTGCAGCTCTTCTGGTGACCTTGAGTCATGCAGTTGCTACTGAAGAGGAAAGAAATGCCTCCTGCAGAGGTCTTGGGAAAGGACTTCACAGTTTTGATGGTTTGCTGCCCTGGCTTGTTTTGAAAGTGCATACTGTGCACCACCTCCCTCCTCCTCAAAGGGAATAAAAGGATGGTTTATTCTAGAGCCAGATTTGAATGTCCATGTCCCCTGAACACAGATTTCGGTTGCCCTCAGATTCAGTGTTCCAATGTAGAAGCAGTTTCATGAAGTTTTTATATTAACTAAAGAAAGAAATCCATGAATCAAGAAACTTCATTGATAGATCCATTGAAACGCTAGAAGAGCTAATTCCAAAGATGGGAAGAGAAAGACCACCGAGACCCAAATCATCATGGCCAAATAACAGCAAGCAAGCAAGCAAGCAAGCAATTAAACCAGCTTTTATTTATTCATGTACACGGGCTGCCTCTCCCTATGATGGAGTTCAAGAAGTCAGCACTGGATATAAGATAAGGAACACAAAGCTTTTATAGCTCTTTTGATATAGGGAGTTTCCAAATGGGGGATTTAGTGGGCATAATAAGGCGGGGTTACAGGGGCAGACTATAACCATACGTTAGTCCTACAGGGCCTCCTGAAACCAAGACATGGTTGAAATATGGAAAGGTAGTCATGAGTGGTCATATAACCTCCTGTAACAATGTTTATGACCATTGCAAGATGGTCATAAACAAGTTTTTGAAACGAAACCGCGATCGCAATTCCTGGAACGGGCAGTACAGAACCATGTGTAGTTAAGGTTACAGGTGGGGCATAGCCCAGTCCTTGAGAAACAGGAATGAACCTAGTTTGCCTTTTCTGTAAGGTTGCTTTTAAGTCTAAGGTGGAGGCAGGCTGCTTCTTTCGTCACCAAGAAAAACGATACAGTCACTAGGGTTAGATTGCATAGTTTTGAAGCTGGCTAGTTTCCTTTGCTCTGTAGGGAAAGGCAGAAAATGAGCAAAGTGCCAAGTCAGTGAGGCCACCGCACAGTGAAAGGGAAATGATAGTCAATCTTTGCTGACTAGCGGCCAGCGAGTAGCCCTGGGCTTGCTCTTCTGTTAGGTGAGTCAGTTTCTGTTCTCTGTAGAGTAGTTGTGGTGAACTTTGAGGTGTTAATGTGAGCTGGGGTGGGGGTGGGGTGGTGAAAATAACTAAGAGTGATAGAAATCGTCATTCTTTAAGGTACCAGTTGTGCTTTGATGGTATATGATTTGAGCAGTGCACTCAAACCATACCATGCAGAGGAAAACCCCCACACTTTGACCGTGAGCTCTGTAAATACGGTCATAGATTGTGTGAGGAGGCTATGGACAATTATAACCTTGACACGCAATAGTTTTCTATGCTTCTAAGGAGAAAGCCTTTTGGAGGAAATGACACAAATGGATTTCAGGGCCTCCCCCATTTCATGGCATTGAAATGTGGTGTTGCCACCTACAGAAATCATTCTGTAGAACCACGCAGTCCGAAGTGTACGTTTTTAAAATAAATTCATAATTTTATATTGGGCATATACTTAACTGTCTGGAAGAACATGCAGTCCATGGCCTGCAGGATCCTTTTCATCCAGAAGAATAATCTCTCCCCCGCCTTTAATATCTTATCAGTTAATTCTACATCACAGCCATGTGGTTTTCTCCGTGACATACATGCCTTGGCCATGTTAAAGCATCACGCATAAACACATGTTCAGTTCTATACCACAAACTAGAGAAGTAGTC